ATGCTGCGGCTCTTCAAAACAAACTCAACTGTATCGCCGCCTCGCTGGAGCTGGCGGGATTATCGATCAACGTCGACAAAAACAGCACAATCAACATAGTCGCTGACAGACAGCGTAGAATCGTTGCCCTTTCTCCTACTGTCTTCAATATCAACTACCTGTCAATTCCAGCCATCTCACCAACAGAGGAATTTACCTATCTGGGTGTTCCCTTCAATTATAAGGGCAGGCGCTGCTTCGATCATGTCGGCGTCCTCAATGAATACTTAGACAATGTGAAAAGCGCCCCCCTTAAACCTCATCAACGAATGAGAATCCTGAAGAACAATCTGATTCCTCCTCTACTTTATTCACTGACTCTCAGCATCACCCACAAGAATACTCTGAAAACGATGGACAAACTTATTCGTGCAGCTGTCCGCCGCTGGCTTCACCTCCCAAAAGACACTTCAACTGCTATTGAGTTCTTCGAGGACTACAGGATATTCTATTACTTGTGGATTATTGGGTACGCTCAGCTCTAAGCTAATAGGATTACCTTCCAATTAAGCCGGTTTCAGACGGTCGATGCTGACGGTGTCTTCGCAGACTTATTTGTCTAAGACAAAGAATTTATCCGTACGTACAATGACTTTATCTGGTCCGTCATACGGAGGTTCTAGAGGGCGACGCACAGAGTCACGACAAACAAATACGTATGAAGAAGTTTTCAAACACGCGCGAACAAAGACATCAATGGACAGTGATCGAAGGGGAGCAGGTTCTGCTGAATGCATTGCGTTTATAAGCCGGCTGACGCATGAGGAGTGACCTACCACTGGTGAGAATCTCGAGGGAGAAACAAACTCACCTGGCAGTCGAAGTGTCGTGCCATATACTAGCTCAGTGGTAGTACAACCAGCATCCATTTCAAGGTGTTTCGTATGCCTACGAAGACTAACGGAAGTGATTCAGACCAATAGGTGTTGTTTGCAGCTGATAACCCAGCTTTCAACTGCCTGTGAAGAGGCTCTACCATGCCATTAGCTTGGGGATGGTAGGCTGTTGTTCGAAAACGCATGCAACCAAGGATTTTAGTCAAAGCGAAGAATAAACCGCTTTCGAATTGCCGCCCACGATCAGTTGTTATGGAGGATGGGTATCCAAAGTTTGCGATCCATCCTTCTACAAACACGAGTGCGACTGCTTCATCAGATACATCCTTGAGGGGTACTGCTTCAGGCCGTCGTGTGAGGAGATCGATGCAGGTTAACATAAAGGTGTATGCATGAGATTCCGGAAGGGGGCCGACCAAATCTATATGAACGTGTTCGAAACGATAGTCAGGGATAAGAAAAGTACCAAGGGGCTTTTGGTGTGTCTCACCACCTTGCACTTTTGGCAAGCTAAGCACGTCTGTGCCCATTCCCTTCCTTCCTTATTAATACCAGGCCAACAAAACCGACTAGTTACGAGCTTGACAGTAGTTCGGATACCTGGGTGGTATAAACCATGCAACGTATTGAAGACGTTACGGCGATAACTTTTAGGCACGATGTGGCGAGGAATACTAGTGGAAACGTCACATAGAATAGTATCTTTTCCTATACCTAGGGGTATCTCGGCTAATTGCAGACTTGTTTTCGACAACTCATGTTGAAGCTCGGTATCTTCTTTTTGAAGACAAGCCAGTTTTGCAAGGTCTATGCCGTCGATTTGGGTGAAGGAACAAATGCGCGACAAGGCATCTGCCACAGTGTTGTTCACTCCAGATACATGGCGAATATCCTATGTAAACTGTGAAACGTAATCCAGTTGTCGTGATTCACTGGGTGAATACTTATCTGAAGTTGAGTTCAGAGAGTACGTCAGAGGTTTATGGTAAGTGAAAATGATGAATTCACGACCCTCAATTGAATGTACAAAATGGCGTATAGAACAGTGCATAGCTAGAATTTCTCTTCCAAATGTGCTGTACTTTGTTTCAGCTAATTGAAGGCGCCTCGAGAAAAAGGCGAGTGGTTGCAACTCTCTGTTGACTAGTTGTTGCAGAACTGCGCCGATTGCAGTGTCTGATGCATCAACTGAGATACTTAACGGTGCCGTTGGATCCTGATACATTTGAAGTGTGGCATCCGCAATAGCTTTTTTAACCTGAGTAAAGGCATGGCGAGAAGACGCGTCAATGGACTTGTTATTCCCTCGAAGAAGGTCTGTCAATAGCTGAATCAGCGAGGCACAGCTGGGAATAAACCGACGGAAATAACTTACCAAGCGGTTAAAAGTGCATAGACCTTTGACTGTTTGTGGCTCTGGAAAGTTCAGTATCGCCTCGACTTTACTAGCCAGTGAGCGAATGCCCTGACAGTCAATAGTGTGGCCCAGAAAGTCGAGTGAGTCAACGCCTATCTGACACTTTTGAATATTGATGGTAACACCATGTTGGCGTAACCTTTCAAAAGCCAAGTCCAAGTGTCTAAGGTGAGTTTCCTTGTCTGGACTGGCAATGAGGCAGTCGTCTAAGTATGCGTTTACAAAGTCGAGACCGCGAAATACTTCATCGATGAAGCGTTGGAATGTTTGTGCTGCATTCCGAAGACCGAATGCGTAGAAATTCGGAATATCTTCCGTTGCCATCGGGATTCGGTTATACGCTTTAACCAAGTCGATTTTAGAGAATATAGATGAGCCAGATAATGTTGCCCTCAAGTCGTGTATGTGAGGCAAAGGGTAGCCATCGAGGGTTATTTTAGAGTTTACTCGCCGGTAATCACCAGTGGGTCGCCAATCGTTGCTATCCTCTTTCGATACCATATGCAGTGGGGATGCCCATGGGATATTCGATGGCCGAATGACGCCAAGGGTGAGCATATGGTCGAACTCATTTCTACCGAGTCTCAGTTTGTCAGCAGCAAGTCGTCGTGCTTTAGATGTCACGGGCTGTCCCGAGGTTATGATGTGGTGCATAACATTGCTGGTTATGCACGGTAGATCGTTAGACGGGCAATTAAAATCCAGGTACTTATCAACAATCGGTTGAAAAGTTGGATCAAGGATTGCCTTCATCTTAACGAGTGACAAGCTAGGGCCCATATATGTGATGCCTTTGATGGACAGTCTAGTAGTACCGTCTATCAGTCGTTTCCGGCAGGCGTCTTCGAGTAAATCATGATGATTAAGTAGGTCCGTGCCAATGATGGTCATTGTGACGTCAGCGAGAAGGAAAATCTATTGAATAGGTTTGCGTAGACCTATGTTCAGGTAAACGTATTTCCTACCATAGGTTGCAATTGGTTTTCCATTTGCAGCCCGTAAGTTGAAGGTAGGTTCCTTCTGTCGATCTGCCGCTGTAGCAGGAAGGACGCTGACTTCGCCGCCTGTGTTGACTAAATAACGGGTCTAGCTGACCACATCACGAATGTAAAGTAGGCGGCTAGTGCCACCAGCGACGGTTGCCGCTAACGCGTCCTGGCGGGATAGTTTCACGCAGTCTTTGAGACATTGCCGAAATTACAAGGTTTTCAGCAACATTTCTCTTCCTGGCCATAGGTGTTGTGATACCAATAACAGTCAGGGCTTTTAAGTGAACGTGGTTTGGATTAAGATTGACCACGTGAGTTTTGCCATTGAGGGGGGTTCGGACGACGGTAGGAGGAATTGAGTCATGTTTGACTTAAGCAGCTTCTGGATGGAGTTGTATAACTCCATTACTGCAGTATCCTTACTCGTAGTCTGTTTGGCAACTGAGCATATTTCAGTAACTGACCATTTAGTGATTTCCAGAGTTTTATCTGCAGAAACAGCTAAGTCATCCATAAGAACACCTTGAAGTGTCACAAGTACAGTCTGTACTGACTGTGGCAGTTTGGATGAGAAAATTTCTCTGAAGAGTCCTTCATCAAATTGACGTTGGCCAATAACCTCTCTCATTCTTGTCAGCATGCTCACGGCTGACTGATCCCCTAACTCGACTTTACGAAATAATCCGTCCAGACGCTGTCGATCCATGAGAACGTTTCTCTTTAGGAGAGATGCTTTTAGCAACTCTTACGAGTTACTTACCTCTGGACTCGACATCTGCACAGTTACAAACTCGCTGAATTCCCACGGTGGGGGGCGTGAACAACTGCAAGGAACTGTGAACGTTGATCAGTTATGCCATGCTCACAAAAATCAAACTCAACTATCTGAAACCATGATTCAGGATTATCTGGCCAAAATGGTACGAGCTGAATGGTTATGGCAGTTGAGCGAATACGAATGACCTTAGGACTATGATCACTCATGACGGAATATATATAGTTCAAAAACAGTACAGGAACAAATACGAAATGGAACGAACTCACCGGATTTGTCTGCGTATTTACCAAAGATGAAGTTCGTCGTAGGGCACACCAAATTAGAGGCTGACGTTATTGAAGTTCGCAGATTGTACGGAGTATACTAACGCAAGGTCTAATTCCAACAAATTCCGTAGTATTCGCTCCACGCAGACCAAAGGCAAAGCAAAAGACAGCATTGGGTTGTCCAAACTACGAGATATATTTCGGGACCAAATCGTGGACTGAGGTGAATGCTAAGCTGGCTAGCGATCGTGCACGAACGTGACACGACGGAGTACCGAATGGCATGGATGCTTGACCGGAAGCCTTCAGTTAGACAAGTCGACTTAGACAGTGAGGGTCAGCATCAGTGATGATTGCTGTAATCAATAATTTTGGGGAATTATTTACCGCTATATACTCAAAGATAATAGCTTGTTTACACTTATTCATCATTCTGAGAAGGTATGATTTATAAATGCGAAGTTTTAGAGCTAAAAAGTATGAGACAGCTGCATAATATATGTAAGAAATAGAAAACAATGATATATAATATACTCGATCTTAACGGAAAAGACTCACTGAACACAACTGGTAGGTTAGCATCAAGAAACCAAGAGAAATAAATCAGTTTGGTTCATACTGAGTGAGGAAGTACTTTCGATGTCAAACTGTTTCAATTTTGTTTGTCTACAGCAATTTTGTTAAAGGATTTCTTATCAATCTTTTGGTTCTGCTTGCAGTTATCAGGATACCAGGTTAAATGGCCTAAAAGAAATGAACTTTGACAAAAACGTTAAGGAATACAGTGATGAATGTTCAGAGAGAAACAAAAATAAGGAGGTTGTTTTCGCAGCTGATCCTCCTGCGGACAATTCGAAATGTAAACGGTACTCAACCGCAAAATATGATAGGAGAACTCGTCAAAAGATAAGAGAGAAAATTCGTCTCGAAAATTTTGTTTTTGAACAGCTTCGTCTTCTTTATAATACGGAAGTAGGTATACCGTGTTTTTCATTCCCTGGAAGGTAGATGATTATGATTGTGACATTGATATGGATGAAATTTGTGCACTTCAGACAAACGAAGAAAAAGTTTTCAAGCTTAAAGTAGGTTGAAATTGTTTCTTAACACCTTTTGCTATAGGAAAAGCTTAGGTCGTGTCCTGCGAAGCAAGATCAAATCGACGTACGTAAGTTTGTATGAATGTGTTCCACATATCTAGTTTACCTAAAAAACGATTTATTTTTCAACTCATCAAGAGATCCTAGATATTTTCGGTATTTTTAACCGTTGCGTTTTTCGAATAATTATTGAATTGGTTGTATCAAGGTACTGAAATTCCCGGAAAGTGTTTACTTAGTCATCTTTTCCTGAGTTGTAGTGTGAATCGTCGTTATCACTGCAAGTGATTACTCCTTCGCTTTACAGTCTTATACAGCTCAAAGTGCAGATTAACACTGGTCTAATTTTCAGCCCTTATAAATGTGTAATCCTCAGTTTTTAAACAATTATTCAGACTTATATTTAACATCTAAAATAATTTCAACTCGGACGAGAATTATTCGAGTATATCCTATTGAATGCATATATATTTTGTAGATTTTTGCTTCAGTTCTATCCTGTTGGTTTAACGTTCTCAGGTTGAGCGAATGTTAATCGTAGCTAGTAGCCTTTTAACATTACTTAAGTTGTTTGAACAGTAAATAAAATAGTGCACATATTTTCTCATATTCCTAATTCCCGATAACAACATAAGAAAGCATCATGTCACCATTTGTAAACTTGATATATGGTCCATATCACCTTCATTTATAAACATTAAAACAAAACTATTCACTAAATTGGTCTAAATGCTCAGTAAGCGTCTCTTGCCTATGTTTGACATCCAGTTGTACATCTTAACAGTGTTAGCGTATAATGCGACTGAAGAAACAACTAGGCTAGTTCGATTACTGTCAGATAAGAAAAACAGCAATACAATTTTTTTTAGCCCCTAAGAACTTGCAAGAAGTACGTTGTATATATGGAGCTTTTTATTCTCACTCACTGACAGTATTCTACCTGAATAAATTCATCCGGATACCAGATGGAATTAAGTGGCATCCAGATTACAGATCGGTTGAATTTACCCAAATAATCTACTAGAAATGCTATAAAACATCAGTCACTTTACTTAAGTCAAACACATGTTTAACTACTTAATCAGCATCTTTAAAACAATTATATTTGCCGCTATGTCGCCAGTCTTAACTGGCAAGATAGCGTCAATAAGGGTAGTAGAAGGGTTCTTTTTCAGAAGACTGGAATTTACTTGACAGTTATCGGATTCATCATACGCGTCAAGTGATCGCTTAAATGAAAACTTCATTTTTTGGTTGCCTATGTCTCCTGTTTCATCATTCGCCAAACGTCTGTCTGAATGCTGAATCTGAAATCCTAGGGAAATGACGAGGTGTCGTTCTCAGTGACGCAGACGCATTCGTTCTCGTGGCTTTGGAAATTCGAACCTTTCCACTAATCTTTTAGGACACTGTCTTGAAAAAAAATCATCGGAAGTATGGTATAATCCAGCTGTAGTCTTATTGATTGTTTGAAACTGTATCACCACCATTTTTACGCTTTAAAAAATATCGCGGCCACACTGCAAACTTGACTGACAGAATTCAGTCTTCACCAAAGACAGGACTATACACAGACATTAGTTTCTAACCAGTCGAAAATAAATATTGTATTACTACGGGTTGAACTATTGGTCATGCCAACAAATGGATATATGAATAACTGGGATATGTAGTTTTTGTGGTCTTGGTTGTTGAATATAGATCTTCAGTAGTTTATAAGACACCTAGTTTCTTATATTCAATTTTTCGAAATGAATCCCTAAAATGACTCCAGAAGCGAAAGCCAAAAAGGTTTTCTGCTTCACTTCTGGCTGATAATGAAATTTACTCTGTATCCTAGAGGTATGATAATATTACGAGATCTATTAGTGAAACAACTAACTCTGTTCTACATCTAATCGATTTCTTTGTATGTCAGAAAGCAGACAGGACAATCACCTGAAATTATCCTTTTTCAAAAGAAAGAAGTTTGATTTTAAGTGGTTTTAGTCGAGGATAATAATAAGAAGTAGAGAAAAGAACCAGGGGCGGCCACTACAAGCTGCTGCTAATTTTTACAACAAATGGAAACCATTTTATGTTTTGACTTACAAATGCTGTCTGTGTGATAAAAACTAACTGAGATCACTAGTGAAAGGATTTTGATACATAGATGATAAACAGCAGGATCAAACATGAGACATGAAAAGAAGATAAGATCTACTGACATCCCGCCAAACAGACTCTAATTACCAGTCAAACTAATATGTATGGCTTAAACACTGAAACTTTACAGAAAACCTTCATTTTACACGAGAGTCTGCATTGTGACTCGACTTTCGTGCTAGAAGTATTCTATTGACACATAAATCTTTGACCATACATTGTTACTTCTAAGTTATGAGATAAAAAATAAATACGATTTACGTTTTTCGAGTTTCTTTTGATTTTATGACGATGTATTTATCAACTTTAGCAAAAATTCGATGTTTAGTTAGGAGACTATGAACAAGCTGTTATTGGCATAATCACTTACACTGGTAAACCTTTCTCTTTGATATTAGTGGTGCAGAGATACACTTGTTGTTGAATGGTTTTTAACCGCACTTTTATGCAGAAATTCGCACAATCATTTTCAATACACTATGTGATTGGTTGAATCGTAGCAAACTCAGAGCTATTATTAGTAGCTCGTACTATTCTGTTATGCATACTCATAATAGCTGATTCATTTCAAGAAAGACTTCTCAATTCTGTACCTCGTTATTAAAATTGTGACATTTTAGTTTCTGTGTTTGCAGTACTAAAGCTATTGAATCGACGGCAGGTAAATTGTTAGAGTCAACTTTTACTTTGAGGAAATTGTTTATGTTTACCTGTGCAAGCCTAAATTTCATATAAAAATATTGTGACACATGGAGTATGTCCTTGATGAAAGGATCATCTAAAACCTAGAGTATGGGAAAAGTTTCGTGTTTATAACATTACACAGGGTTGTATAAATACGGTACTACTAGCAGGGGAATTTATTAAAATGTGATAACGTCGCTGTTTATTGATACACAATTAAAGTAATCCTGCCTAACTATCTGAAGGAGTTTTTCTAGTCGTATATAAGCTTTGAAAGGATAAATTCACATCCGAGAGATCTGTTCTTATATTCAAATAAACATTTTGGTATAATGTAGTGGGCAATAAGAATATAGATAGTAGAATGCATATATGACCACACAGTTGTCACAATCAATCCAGTAATTCTGAAATTTTCAATAGTATTTTGATTTATGAGTAGTGGGAAATAGCCGATCCAACAGACAACAGTTCTTAAAATGTCCTTAAAATCCTGCCACTTCTCATTCTAATATTATTTTCAAGCTACTCAGTTGTTGTTTTCTTAAACTATGTAGTTGTTACATAGAAGTAATAAATCCCTCAAATAAGATATGGGGAATGGAGTGAAAAAATTGTTTGTGGAAATATAATCGCGCAAAATGTCAACTGTTATTCCCATTAAATCCTTTGAAAATTACCATTTTTTGATTAGCGTCTCTGATAAAGTGTTTTAGCATAAGATTTATTATTTTAATATAAGTGTCCTGACAGTCAATTATTATGCATTTAACATGGTGTGTAGCTCAAGGTGTTACAAAATCTTTGAGTGTAGTCAAAAATATTTTTTATGCAAAGTCATTTTATTGACCTAATTATTATTATTGTTCCCTTGGGTTCCTAGTGGAACATAGGGCTTCAGCTGCACGCCTCCACTTGCTTCTGTCTTCTGCTGTACTTTTCACTTGACCTAAACAATTTATTTATTTGGTATTACTCCACTTTTTTGTGACTGCACTTCTAAATTGAGGTCACATTTCACTTTTGACAGTAGAAATGATGACTGTAATGCAGATTCCAATAAGAGGTCATTAATTCTGCCTAAAGCCCTGGCGTTAGACAGGACTTGATTTCGAAACAAACTGCCGATATGAGCAGTCGAAGTCTAATGATGAATCACCAGTAGCCACTAGACGTAATAATCATGTTCTAGTTCTTTGGTTAGCAAATGCTTTCCAGGTTGAATCTGGATGCAGCTGTAAGAGGCTACAAGGCTCTGTGCCGTAAAGAGTACAGAAATTTCAAAATATTGCATATGTAACTTGCAATTCACATCCAAGAAATCATCTGTCTGTTTTTAGGATCAACATTCTTACTTGAAATTCAGCAGTCACTAGTTTTAAAATATAAGTGTACTGAGTTGCATTTTCATCCTTGAATTCAAACAAAGTGTTATATGAATACAAAAGAAAGAACAAACACTTCATCCGCTCAGCAGCTGTAATTAAATCTAGTGAATTTCTGAATATTTTGATTAAAGCAGCTAGTTCAAATATTTACTAATCATTTATCTCTTTTTCTGCACTTTTGTTTAAAATTGTCACTACTAATTAAAGTCTCCAAGTCGACTGAGTGGTTGACATAATTACTTGTTTCGATTTTTTCACTAAAAACATATGTATACTAATCACATACGAATAAACACTGTGTATCATCAGATTTTCCGAAGTTATACGGGACAAAATTATAAGATACTAGAAAATGGAATTTAACAGGAGTATAATATCTCAGTTCCAGATACGAAACTTTTTCCTTAAAGTTTGATTTATGTCAAAGTAGATGAAGTGGTAATAATGAAACACATAATGTATACATATAAATAACAATCTAACTTGTATCTACATGTCACCTGAGGAAAACCAAACAATAAGTGGGAAATATTCTGTCTTGGTGAGTATCAAAAGATGCTAAAAGGCAAATGTAAAGAATTCAGTTTACTTAAAGCTCACGAAATAAAAATTTACGAAGTGACCTACAATTTACTTAAAACTGTGATACTTCTTTCTAAAGATCTCCCAGTATGTTGGATTCTATGAACCATTTAATTACTTAAGTGATAGCTGTATGGTTCTTCATCAGTTAGCTGATATTACATTTGGTCTAACGGGTTAACTATTTAATTGTGAAAATAAAAAGTCACATGGAAATAAGTATCACTTATTGCGTGCAACTTCGGATCAGTGTGAACATATATTC